ACAGAAAGAGAGAAAGGACTGACTGAAGTTGTTGAGTGGCGCATAAGAACATATGCAATTAGTGGATACAGATTTTCCAGATTCGGTACCCGAACAGTGAATTACTTACGTTCTTGCTGTAATGTCCACATAATCTCCGACACGAAAGTGATGAATTCCAAGTGGAGTCCCTGAGTGGATTGAAAGGGATAAATGACGATTCATGGAAGTCAAATATGAATGTAATTATTTGCCAAGGTTTCCCAAACTGATGTATTTAGATTAGAGTCAAGCAGGCCTATCCGGCAGTCTTTTGTCTGCTCATTTATATACTTGTATAAAGGAAATGTATTTTCGTCACAATAATTTCATTCGCAATACCGGGTAAATTTGTTTGGAAAGCTCTTTTAGGGTCAGTCCGTTGGTGAATCAATACTATGGTTCGATGTTTTACAGGTAGCTTAGATGCCACTAACCTCAACAAACGTAACTTAAACGTCTTTATGGAATATTTTACAGTAAGTAGTATATGAATACCTGAATAAAATTTTCCCAGAAGAGCACGACCGGTTTCGCGGTTCTTGCCGCTCTTTAGGCATGCATATCCAGTTATGTTCCTTCTGCTGCATCATATAATTGCCTTTTGTATCTTGTTATCATATACTATGACGGTTCTTGTGTAACTTTTGACAAAGCCGATGTCAATATGGTGGTAGGCAGCTTTGCTATTGTTCGGTTCAATACTACGCCTAACACATCGGGGTCTTATGTGGTTCACCACTCCAAGTCCCGGGGACTTAGGTTACCGGTTTCCATCACTGAACAGCAGGTCCTCGTGTGTAATAAAAAAATAAAGATTTTCCATCCAAGAAATAAGGTGTCAAACGCTATAAGACAATAAAATGGGAAAAAAAGCAGTGATTGATCATCAACCATGATGAAAAGCGAGCTCCAAAATCAGTTGCTATGCTCCTCGGATAGATATCCTCTAAACCTATCCTTTACACATGTCCGAATTCAGAGGCTGATGCTAAGCGTTAACGGAAAACAGGAGTACGGTATGCACGGACAGATTGGAGTTCGAAGTGACCTTACAAGTAAAGTTCACATTTCAATGTTGACTGAGGAATTGCGAACCAAATATTGAATAGTAAACTTTGAGGGGAAAGGCCAATGCGGTTGCATTACAACAGACATTGAACAGAAAGAAGAAAGAAAGAAAAGGATATTCGGTAGTTCATGTTATGAATTAGTCTTACCCGGTTTGAGGGCGGCATCTGGACTGACAAGGAAGCGGGAAATTTTTCGTTTCGGGGGCACTCCAGCAGCTTTGAACAGATTACACCAGGCCTCAGAGAACTCAATAGGATCGGCACTTACTGCACCGACCAATTGTAAACCCCAGCGTCGTTGAGCAACCCAGGAAGGAATCCGTTGGTTGTTTAACCAATAACCTCGTGGATCACGCAGACTTAGGTAGTTATCAATTTCGGATGGAGGGATGTAGCGAATAGCATGATTGTCGGGGACCTACAGAAATTGCATTGGAACTTCAGTTTCCAAAACGTATCAAATAGGCGAAGACAGAAATGCCACAGTCGATACTAAACTGTGTATACGGTCAGGCACACTAACACCAGAATGTCCCTTTCATGGCGTTAAAGGGTGAAATGACAAACGATCCGAATAAGAGAATCGATAGTATTAGCCAGATAATCTAATGAAGGAAATAAGAAAAAATCCGTGTACATTTCCTTGCCGTTCAAAGGGGACACATCAATTGAGATCACACAAAGAAGATTATCCAACGCAGTCGGTAAGACTTTCTATGCATCCAAGCTTCGTGTGCTGTTCACATCCAAGCCAATTAATTGTTTGCAACTGAAGGACAAACTTCCAGACTCTGCGGCCTCATTCTGTGTACTCATTTACTTGTTCCTGTGGAACAACTTACAGAGGCCGCACGGTCAGGCGACGGTCCGAATGAATTCGTGAACACCAACTTGTGTGGCTTGACACCAGTGCAGTGGTTTCACACCTAGCTGAAACAAATCACACTGCGGATGTGTCCGCAGCTTTCCGCCCCCCTGTACAAAGTGCGAGGGCGATTATCCACACAGGCTCGCTGTCGTATGCTGGTCACAGCAGAAGCGGTGGGCNCCCCCCCCCCGTGTGCCCAACTCCAAGTTAATCAATCGCGAAATGCCTCATGACAACTGGACACTTTGATGACCCACTTTTTTGATCAAGCCGTTGTTACGTAACACAAATCCAAGATTCAGCCTTCAGCGAAGAGATGTTATCAACCAAGTTAAGTAATCCAATTTTGTGTACATAAAAGTTTCTGACGCAATCAGCCGAATTTCCGTGGCACTGATTCTGATTTCCTTTTCCTAACTCTTGTCCGTTTAACCGCTGTAGTTATCAAAACTTTCTTGTATAAATACCAAATAGATTAACATTGTAGCGACTGAGGAGATTAAAAGAAATATTGACATCTCACAGTATTTGTCCTCACTCCGTTCCAACGAATTGTCTGTTTGTATATTTTTTCCCCTATTTCACCACCAAACTCTAGACTCATCTTTTGGTATTACGACTCAGTCAACTGGGTTGATTTTTGCGACCTGGTAACCTATTAGCACTGCAATCACTGTTGTTGTAAGTCTGTTGTTTTCACTCATTTCAAAATTCACTGGGGTTGTTCAAAGCAGGTAATTTTATGTTCCATACTTCTCCAAACCCGGCAAACTGTAATTCCTTGCGTGATTTAAGCATGCTTACAACAGTGGTGAACATATCAAAAACTCAATACTTCGTCGTTGATGCTGCTCACTCAACCCAGCATCCTGCAACCACTTCATGTAGGCCAGGAACAAATTCTCGCCCACCGGTAACATTTTGGCCCCTTACCGAGGTGGTTTCGAGTAATTTCTACCCTCTCCACTTTACGCGCGTTTGCAATTCCTATGGATCATTAGTTTATAGGTCCTAAGCATACCTTCCATCTTACGGTGTATCCTTGACTATGGCGCTTAGCTCTTTTGCTCCAAATCACTTTATGTTCAAAAAAACTTTAAAATATGAATTAGGCTAATTGAGAATGCGAAGTAAAGAAAAACTACACGTATATAAACAATGGCTCCACATAGTAAACTTCTAGAAAGATAAAGATTTTTGCATTGTATCAATAGCTTACTTGAAGTATTGTACAATCTAACTTTTTTCCGCTCTTCGTCCAAAGTGGATACATCCCCAGTTTGATAGCAATCAAGCCACAGCGCTGTGTGACATTGGGAATCCAGTCAGTTTGCTTCCATTGTTCTGTAATAATAGGACTGTTTTGAGATAAAAAATGCTGCAAGCGTTCCTGTTTCAACAGCTCTCGGTTTTCCACGGTTAGGTCGAGATCATCCTGGGGTTCAGCAGTTTCTTTGATCCAGTAAGGTTTACGTTTGTTCATCCAAGGATAAACAACACGAGTTGATCTTCCTCGCTGCAGTAGCGTACACACAGAAGCGTACCAAGATCTAGGAGAAATAAATTCTAAAAGTACACTTACTTTTTCAGTGCAGATTCCAAAACTGAACGAAACATGATCAGTGAATGAAATCTGCTTAAAAACACACTATGCGGCGGATACCAAAAATATCTGAAAAAAAGAATCATCGGCAACATGATGAGTAATTGCAGATGACGAAGATTATGCAAACTGCTGACCAGCACACAATACGTGCAAAGTAAATGCGCGTGCAAGATGGAAAAGATGTCCACATCATTATCATCGTACTGCGTAATACAGGGAAGC